TTACTGGCGAGATCGACCAGGGAATCTTTGTACAGTGCTTCAGTTTTCGAGTATTTTCACAAAGTGTGTTCAGAAGGATTCGTTTGAATAATGTTAAACGAGTTTATAAGCAATAAAGCAAGACTTGTAAAATAAAACAAAAAAGGTTATAAACTGTAAATATAAATGATATAACATCGAAAATAGTTGAAAATAGGTTAATTCAAACGTACATTGTCCTAGCTTGATTCATTTCGCTCGTTCGCTTGGATACTTTGAGTGACTAGCGTATAGAAATGTGAAAGTTTGAACCTTTAACACTATGCACTAAATGCTTTATTTATAATACACAAAAATAACTACTTTCTAGCGGGCTTCGCTTCCTTGTATGCCATGTGTGTCTCGTAACTTCTCTCCATGAACCCACGTTCTCCATTCATGTTTTCGAACCCACATTCTCCATCCATAACACCTTTTTTGCTAGTTATGCACTCTTTGGGCTTTTTAACGTTCCTGGGCCAAATCAATTCCTCATGAGGCCTCTTTTTGATCGACTGTGTCCACAAGCCCAATTGACTACTTATGAAATCTCTCCCGGTCGACTGTTTCTGTAGTCGACTTCTTATAATTCAAAGTAGACAAAGAATCTTTTGGCTTTTGGTTGGATTTTAATCTTTGTGAAAAATCCTAGCAAACAGAGGTAAAATGATATTTTGTAGTAATGAATTTCCTTTTAAATTTTTTTAATATTTTAAATTTTTTTATTAAAATCATTTTAAAAAAGAAAAAGAAAAAAATATCTTTTTAAACCTAAAATTGTTGAGAATATAATTCTTTGTGTCGAAGCAGGTTGCTCGATAGAAACAAGGTAGTATCAAAATAGCCAAGTGTGTGTTAAAGTTGTGTAGTTGTCGAAATATCGAAGTAGTGTAACTCAACAGGAATTTCGACTTAGGCATATTTTGTAATGTTAGCAAAATTATGTTATTTTGTAGTTTGCTTAGAGAGCAAGCAAACTCAAAATCTATAAATAGAGAGTAAACTCTATTATTGTAATACATAGAAACATACTTGCAGTTGCAAAGAAATAAAGTTTCAGGTTTTGAGAAGCAGAGAGAAGCTCTGCAAAAAAATTCTTCTTCCTTTTGTTTAAACCCCAATTCCCTTTCTTCTCCAATTTCGTCTTTTCTTTCTTCTTCCATTAACAATTGTGCAACAAAATCATCTTGCAATCAAGGTTGGTTGATTCACTCGAGTAAAGAGTGAAGAACAAGAGAGAATTTGATCGGTTGATTGAATCTAATTCATCAAGATTGATTCATAAGTTTTAATATAATTCCAACAAAAACAAACAAACTCAAACTCATACAACTCTAGAAAATGATTAACTTCAGTATTTTTTTACAACTCTATAAATTAAGTTCTTAATTAATTTTTTAATTTTCTTATGGGAAATCCATTAATAAACGGCTGCAATTGTGTAAAGGTTTTCACAATTTTGAACGATACAAATGTTACAATAGTGATTATAATCGTCGTAATGTGAATTAACCATAATTTATTCTTTAATATAAAAAACAATCAAATCCACAATATCGATTCAATTCCAATATAACATTACATGCTATAACAACTATTCAATGTGTTTATGATACAAAATAAAACTGGTAGTCCAGTGGATAGGACACTCCTTGCTATAAAGGAAAGAGTGTGATTTCAATTCCCATCTTTAACAAATTTTTGAGACCTCATATTCATATTAACTAAAAAAAATTAATATAAAATAAATTAATATATATAAAATAAAATACCAACGTTGCATTAATAATAATAAAATAAAAAACAAAATTTTGAGACCTCATATTCATATTAACTAAAAAAAATTAATATAAAATAAAATACCGTTGCATTAATAAAAATAAAATAAAAAATCACTTGACTCTGTCTATTATTTTATGTTACTAAATCTGCCAATACTACACTTAAAAGACACGATAATTCACGATTATTTTCGTACAAGAATGAATTTGAGATATATTTCACCTAATGGAAAATCATTTTAGTATCTTACTCTTCATCCATTCTTCTCCAAACCTAAAAGTTAAGACAACAACTCACTCACCATTGTTTATCTAGCAATTACGCATCTTGTCCACAGGCACCACACACGGACACAAATATCCGTGGTGAGCTTTTGAATTCCGTAAGATTCCAAGACACTGAAAATGTTGTTACATGCATGTAAATGCATGTACCATGGTTAAATTTTCAGAACAAACAAACTAGATTACTACATGACATTAACTTCCTTTTGTTCTTGTGTTGTTTCCAAAGCACGAAAAGCTAAATTAGATTAAAAAACGGTTATTATAAATTAAAGGTAAGCATGTAGGGTACATAGCAAAAGTCCAAAACACAGCCTTTTGGAGTTATTGACGTGTAGGTTTCCGAATTGTTCATTTCACTGTTTTGGAGTTTCTTATATGGACAAAAATAGATCATGCATAAATGTTACTCATGCCATTATTACACATCCACCACTCCTTATAATTCCTCATTAACCTTTAATTAAACATGGTTACTCAAAATTCAAAACTAATTAACCCTTTACATTCATCATGCATGATGTTAATAACATATCCAACTAAAATGGTGTTTAATGACGACTTTATCTTGATTTGTTTTTCTTTCATTCAAGCAAATGGAAGTGTGCAAGTAACTTAGATTAATAATTAAGTCACGATATCATGAACTTAATTACAAAGTTAATTTTCATCAACCACACGTAACAAACACACTTTAATTCTTTTATAGGAAATGCTTTTTAGTGATATGTCTTTTTGACACTTTTGCATAATTTACACGCGGGGCTTTACTAATACACTTTTTTTTATTAGAGTTTGAAGGAAAAAACAAATGAAGATTTTTAAAAAAGAGGAAGGATAGAGTAAAAAGAATTTAAGTGTTTTAATTGAGCAAATTTTAGAGAATTTAGTCTATGTTGAACTTAAGTCATATCATTTTTTATATAAATTTTTTTAGTTATTTTTAAAGTCTATTAAATTAAAAATATCAAACCACAATTCATAAAATATATATATATGTATTCAAAATATTTTTGTATTTTCATTATTAATATACTAGATTTTCTATTTTGAATTAATTTATAAACATGTTAACTTATTCAATAATTTAAATTTATTATTGTGGAAATATATTTAAAATTTTTTACTATTTTCCTATTTTAAAATATCAAGTGATACCTTTTTTTTTTTTTCGTTTTTCAACACTAACAAATGGCATTGTTGAAAAGTGACATAACCGTAGAGACGACGACAAATCAAATCAATAGTGGCAGTGCAGATCGGGTCTCTGTTGGCTCTATAGAGTTATTAGTTTTTATATATGTGACTCTCTATTACTTTTCAAGCAAGAGACGTTGGAAATGAAGTTCATGGCATATTAATTGAAAAACAATTATAGGCTAAGTAATAGAAGAGAGAACACTTTCTTCTCTCTCATGTACTAAGAAAACCCTCTGCCACTCATCACTCTTCCTCTTCCAAAAATCCAAAGTTTTGATTTATCATGTAGTTAAGCTGCTTGATGGTGTGATGATGTCTTTCGTCTGCACCACTATTTTACCTTTAGGGTTGCCTCGATAGTTCTTAGAAACTCCGCCCTGTTATGATGGATTGGTCACCCTATTTGCGGCGGTTTGGTTCTGACAAACATTTGATTTCTAATCATCATTGATTCCGATTTTGATTTCGTGGGTGGTGGTGGGCCTTCCTTTTGATTTCTAATTCATTTCATATTTGTTGAGATCTATAATTATTAAAACGCTCAAGATTGACGCTACCCTAACAACAATTTTGTTTTGTTTCATAACCTTATGGCCATGGTTGTCCTTTGTTATAATCCACTGTGCTCTGAGTTTGTTTAGCTTGAAATTCTATCAAGAGATATTTAGAGAGATAAATAAATGAATTTTTAGAACTTATTGTTTTAAGAATTAGATGATTTTAAAAATTATTTTAGAGGATTGAACGTCATCATAAACATTTTAAGTTGATGTAATTCATATATTAAAAAGAAAAATATATTAAAAATATTTGAAAAGAATACCGGTTATGCAAGATATATATATATATATATATATATATATATATATATATATATATATATATATATATATATATATATATATATATATATATATATATATATATATATATATATATATATATATATATATATATATATATATATATATATATATATATATATATATATATATATATAAAGAGTATTGAATTCCTTAACTTTAAAAAAAATTCCGCTAACTTTGGCTTATATTTCACTCTAATTTATAAAGCTACTTTTATTTAGTATAATTTAATTAGGATAAAGTAAGTTTTCAGTTGAGATTTGAGATTATGTCAGAAGTTAACTACTCCCCCAATTGATAAAAAAAACTACTTCCCCAATTCATATTTTATGTAAATAAAATAAATAATCTATGAATATCCAGTGGAAAAAAAAACCAATATATATTTTCAAATTTTTTAAACATATATAACTTGTTTTGAAATAAAAGTACAATGCCAAAACTACCAAAAATGTATTTAATAATTTGTAAATAGTTATATTTAAGATCTAACTCAATTTTACAAGTTAATAAGATATGAAAATTGTTGTCATTTATAAACATATATATGAATATATGTTCAGTTCACATAATATTATTATTACTATAGAGTTTTTTTGTGAATAGAATTTATATTTAGCAACACAATTACACTTGAAAATATACAAAATTACACTGTAACAATGCTGGAGATAGAGGAGAAGAAATAACATATATCTGAAGGTGAGGAAGTGTTTGATTAATTAAAATTAAAAATAAAAATTAAAAATAAAAATTAGACGACTTACTATATATATAGATAGAGTCCTATATATACCGTTTCATTGATTTGGTGTGTGAAGATGATGAAGTTGAAGAAAATGTTGATAAATTAGGCAGTAAGTCGCTTGAATTGGTGTGAAGGTGTTGCAGGTTTGGCGCGCAGAAGAAAGATAGAAGCTAGATCGTCTGGTACACCTTGGAAGAATTTCATCCCTTGAGATTGAGAAGACGCAACTGGTAACCGTCGTCGTTTCCTTGGAGGTGGTGGACAAACCAAATTGAAGGAGCTTCTGGAAGGTGATGACGGTGGTGTCCGGTAGCTGTAATCTTCATCATCCATTCTTCTTTCTAGATCTGATACTTCTTCTTCTAAGTGTTGATTCAATGTTGTAGTAGTAGTATTTGTAGCTGTAGCAGAAACGTTGCTTTGTTTGATTGGCGTAATTGATCGAAATTCTTCCAACATTTCCAGACCCATTGGATGGTTTGAGATGATGATTATGATATTTTTGGTGGGAGGGAGGTATATAAGAAGGCGTGAAGAGGAAGAGATTAATAAATTGAGAAGGTAACGTAATGATGATGGGAGGTGGTTGTGAAAGAGAAGAGATATAGATATAGCATGAGAGATAAGAAAACCAATCAATGTGGGGTATAGATGGTGGGATTCATAAATACCAATACCAATTTTTATTTTTATTTATTAATAACACATAAATCATTTAAATTAATAATTCCTATATTTACTTCCTATAAATCTCTATTTCTTTTTCAATATATCTTAACTCCACAATTTTTATCTCCATATATTAAATTGGATCTCAACACTAGAGTTTAAATTTCATCTCTCATTATTGTATATGCATTTTCAGTGATTGTTACCATTTTTTATCATATAAAATGTTCTATTATAAAAGTATAATGAAATTGAAGATAGGATATTGAAATGATGATAGACTTAAACTTCAAATATGAAGGAGGATTATGACTCAAACGTTTAAGTTAGTGTCTAAGAGAGAAGATGAAATGAAATTTGAATTTAAAATTATTTATTTAAAATTTTTTACATGTTTCATTTATATATAATAAAATAATTATAATATATTATTCTCTAAACATTTGATATATTTTCTCGTCGTTTTTGGATCATCTGTACTCTTTTTTAAGATAGTTTTTCTATATTGTTGATAATTCAGATGAATCATTATTATATTAGATGGTCGGTTGTTGGTCATTCTAGTCTGCTTGAAATATAAAAAAAAAACAATTTTTTTCTTTAAAAAGGCTTCTTTTGAGTAAATACTTCAAAGTAATGGTGTTTGTGGTGCAGATTATATTAATTTTGAAAAATAAAATTACAAATATTTTGAATTTAGATCATTTATAAAAAAAAAAATCATTAATGTTATTGCAAAAATAATTATAGTATTATTTTGATCAGAATGTATTCAATATACCAGCTAAAATTTGAAAAATAGTTAGAGATGTATTGTTCTTAAGAAAAACAATTAAAATTAAATTGATGACAAGTCAAGTGTTTTAAAAAAAAAGATAAGCAATCTAATTATCTTTCTCTTAAAATGAAAAAAGAAAGTACATTTGAGAAAATTGTTAAAAAAGACAAGATCGATACATATGTAGTAAAAGCAATGTAAAAAGAAGCAAAACAAATGTTGGTGGTGTGATTGTATAACTTGTATTGTATTGTACATGTACTTATATGAAAGTGAGTGTTACAAAGCTATGAAGACATGCAATGCAGCAGCATAGCCTTCATCTGACATAAGCCGCAAAATTCGCTTCTCTTCTAATTTCGGCCCCCACTTTGCTTCCTTGTTTCTCTTTAATTAACCATTTTCTTAATTATGTTTATTTTTCAAAAAGTTCTTTGATATTCTTAAATGTTTTTGAGTATCAATATTATATAAATAAACATAATTTTAAATTAAATTAATTTTTTATTAAAAGAAGTAATGAAAACAAAGTCAATGGGTAGCACTAAACTAACATCTCTTAAGATTTAAATAGTTGATACACAATAGTTATAAAAAATATTTTTAAAAATAGTTGATATTCTCTCCAACACCTCTCTAACGCCTTTTTCTTTTTAATTTAAATATTTAAATATATTCGAGTAATTACACCCATTTTTTACATTAAATACTATTTATCATATTTATATGGTTAATAATGTTTTTCAAATAAAATATATGTTTATGAACTGTCAAAATATTATTATAATAATATTTTTTTTAAAAAAATAAATAATTTTTTTTATTTTTTTAATAATAAAATAAATTTGGTTAATAAAATATATAAAAAATAATTAATAAAGTGATGAAGTTGGTTAATAAACGTATAGATATCAAAAATAATTTTTAGTAATAAAATAAAGTTGGTTAATAAAATATAAAATATTGGTTAATTAAGTTATGAAGTTGGTTAATAAACACTCAGATATTAAAGATGATTTTTAGTAATAAAATAAAATTGGTTAACGAAGTAGAACATGTTAATTAATGAAATTATAAAATTGACTAATAAATATTTATATTTTAAAATTAATAGTAGTAAATAAAATTAGTTAATGAAATATAAAATATTAATTAATGAAATTATGAAATTGATTAATGACAAAATTTTATATTGATATCTCTTAATCTATACAAATTAAAAATATATTTTTAAATAAATAAATATTATTATAATAATATTTTACTATTTATAAATATATTTTTTATTTAAAAAATATTATTCACTATATAAATACGGTGAATAATATTTACTGTTTAATTAAAATATTATATTAAAATAAAATTCAATAATAATAACATAAACATAAATTAAAACATCAGTGAAACACAAATAAGATGATGAGTGAGATAAATTAATTTTTTTATTATATTAAATCACGCACCCACATTTTCATCAAATATCTTAAAGCAAATAAAGATTGCACATATAGCATTAATAAATTTAAGTGGAGTATTTTGATCTTATTTGATAGATTGTAAATATAGAAAATCAATTTTGTTTCATAGATTTATCGTACATTTTCAATTAAAGAAATAGTACGATATTTCTTGTGTACTTCTATCTCTTCAAACAAATAGACTATTAAAAAATGGTGAATTTGAATGCAAAGATTTGATATTCAAGCATCATTATTTTAAAATTTGGAATTTAAATAGAGAAGAGAGCTTCAACTTACACAAAGAAAAGAGCTTAACCTTTGAAAAGATTTGTTATAAACAATTTATCTTAATATTATGTATAAATAATGTAATATTTATTAAAAAAAAAAGAATTATTCACCTTGGTTTTAATCTAAAACCGAGGTGATAGTTTAAAGGAGATGATAATTTACCTCGATTTTATAGTTAAATTGAAGGATATAATAATAATATTTTACTATAAAAACACTTGTTAAACAAATTTTATCCTAATCCTTAATAATATGAAGCCTCCCAAAGAGAGGGAATATTTACCACCGCTACAACATATCTCTGGGATGGATTGCAGGTGAAGAAAATAAAAATTCTCATTGGCCCTAGAAACAGATCTCTAGCATCTTACATGAGACCTCTAACATCTAAATCTTGATATCCTCGGAGATTTGTTGCATACAATTTATTTTTAATATTTTTTCTAAACAATGTAATTAAAAACATAAAATGTGCATTCACCTTGGTGATTTGTTATGGCCGAGGTGATAGTTAAGCGTTTTTCTATATTATATACATCGGCCTTAATAAATATTTGTCTTCTATTTAATGACTATCAATGCTCAAGATGTTGTCATTAGTGATTTGCATAAAATCTAAGGGATATCCATTATAAAAGCATGTTGAATATTGAAAAATCTAACCTAAATAAAACATATGAAGCGCTTGAAACCTAAGGACGCTTGAAAAAATTCTCTATAATGGAGTACAAGAGCAGAAAAAAATTGGGTTCAAGGTTTGTTTTCTTAAATATTTATTCGAACCGAAAATGATTTGATTTTTTATATTAATTATCTTACCCTTTTTTTCATCAGAAACAATTGCATGTAAGATACAACAGAAGATCTTCCCCAAGATTCAATAATTTGAAGATCTAAAGTCAAAATATTGAGGGAATTTGATTTTTATCTAGATCTCTAGGGAATTAGGGAATTTGAATTTTATTTTAATTTTAATATTTTGTGTAAACAATGTAATATTGGGTAAACAATGCAACAACTTAAAAAATAACAATAACCATACCCCTCGTTTTTTTAATAAACTGAGATCAAAGATACGCTAGTTTTGGAAAATAATAAAAATGCAGCTGCTGCAGTTCAAATCCATGTGCATATAACTATACACATTGGTTTTTTAATCATCAAGGTGTTAAGTGGAACCTTTTCACGATGCGCTTGGTTACCTCGCTACTTTAGCTGAGGTAAAACGCATTTGCGTCCGAGGTTAAATACATTATTTATTATAGTGATCAGAAGGAGATTCTGAACAAGTCCAGATGCCACAAAGATCAGAAAAATATCAAGGAGATTCACAGAGTTTGACATGTTGCAAGATACTAAAGTAGACTATGAGGGAGAAGTCGTTCAATATACTATGTTTGTAGACTCTGAACCAATTAGTGTTGAAGAAGCTCTCAAGAATAAAGTGTGGTTGAAGGCCATGATAGAAGAACTTGAGGCTATAGAAAGAAACAAAACTTGGGAGTTAACTATGCTTCCAAAGGAGAAGAAATCCATCAGCGCCATATGAATTTTCAAGATAAATTTAAAGTCAGATGGATCAATGGCAAATACAAAGCAAGGTTAGTAGCTAGAGAATTTCTATAGAAATCTGGACTAAATTACTTTGAGGTGTTTGCGCCTGTAGCTAGTCATGAAACAATTAGATTGGTGATTGTTATGGTTGCTAATAGAAATTGATCTCTGATTCATCTGGATGTGAAATCTGCATTTCTGAACGGTCTGTTACAAGAAGAGATATACCTATTACAACCTCCTAGATTTGTGAAAAAGAATAAAAAGGGATAGTGTACAGATTACATAAAGCGATGTATGGACTGAAACAAGCTTCTAGAGCTTGTAATTTGAAAATTGATTCATTTTTCAAGCTTCAAGGGTTCATAAAGTGTGACATGGAGTATGGCGTTTATGTGCAACATACTTTTGGAAGAAATATGATTCTAGTGTGTCTCTATGTTGATGACATATTACTAATAGGGATTTGTACAAAAGAGATAGTAAAGTTCAAGAAGGTGTTGATGAATGAGTTTTAGATGACTGATATGAGAAATATGGTATACTTTCTAGGGATAAAGATTCTGTACTCTGAGAAGAGTATAATTTTGCATTAGCTGAAGTATGAACTTGAGCTTCTAAAGAGGTTTGAGCTAACAAATTGAAAGGCTGCTATCACACCTACTAAGATGAATCACGAGTTAGATTCTTATGCTAAGGGTGATAATGTAGATGCTACA